CTGGGGTAGCCACAGCGGAATGAACCACCAACTTATCCAGCATATGTTTTTAACGCAGCGCATGCCCTTCCAGCTGCAACCCATTTCTGGGAAACATCCATACACACTCATTCACTCATACACTACGGACAATTTAGCCTACCCAATTCACCTTTAGCACATGTCTTTGGACTGTGGGGGAAACCAGAGCACCCACACGAACACAGGGAGAACATGCAAACTCCACACAGAAATGCGAACTGACCCAGCCGAGGCTCAAACCAGCGACCTACTTGCTGTGAGGCGACAGCACTACCTACTGCACCACTGCATCGCCCATCTTCTGGGTTTAAATTCATTATTGATGTAGCGTTCAACTGCAATTGAAGTAAGACATTAGTGAAATCTTGTAATTATTCACTGACTGAGTTTTCTTATACTATGAAAACATTCTGCTTCTTGAACTTTTTGAACTGAAACAGGGAGGTTTCACGACCCTTTAAATCATTTAGAAGAGAATGTCCTCATCTTTTCTAAAAAAAATGTTAAGTAAAACCAGGCCTCCTTCAGCACTCCCCAGAGCGTCTTTAGACACAAACCAATAAAATTACAAAATTTAATTCTGCAAAAAAAGGAAAATGCAATTATGGCAGATAATTTTCTATGTCTGAAATTTGATGCATCCCTAGTTTTAATTGATTGTTCACAGCCAGCCATGAAATGGCTTCCACATTGTCTAGACCTGAATATTACAGAGGTAGTATGTGATTCACCTAGAAAGAAAAAGTACATATACTTTTTTTCTGTCTAGGTAAATGTACTACCTACATCATACTACCGCTATAAAATTCAGGTTAGGACAATGTGGAGGTCATTTCATCAAAAGTTTAAATTTAAAAGTTGCTGTCATGGCAATGCTGGAAAAAAATAACAGCTCTTGTTCACGATCAAGAAAATTTGACTGTCAATAAAATGTGGTTATTTTGTTGGTTTGTGTTTTTAAAATAGGTATAATTCAAGTTACTGAATTCAAATAAAAAAATGCTACAGTACTTTGTAATAAATATTATTTATTATATAATATAAAGCACTTTCTGGTTTGTTTTGGTTTTCAGCCAAGTGCATGCTGCATTTACATTTTGGATCATCCCTAATTAAAAGCTGTCAGTACTTAAAAATATAAATTTAATTCACAATCCCATCAAATCAAACAATATTACCAACAGCACTGGCAGCAATGCATCCCAAACCAGGACAGAAACTCCAGTACATTTCACTGAAAGTTCAAGCACTTATTAAAAACTATTTCTTTGGACCCAATTCCAACTCAAACCTGTATTTTCTGTTTGTATTCTAATAAAGACACTGGGAAATAATTCTATTGGGTCATTATACCACTAATAATTTTGGCTTAAACCTTTAATGTGCACAGTACTGCACATTAAAAAAAATGATTTATTCCTTTGACAAAAAGCTGAACTTACAGTATCGTTAATCCAGTCATCAGCATCACACGATCCATCAGAAATCATGCGAATGCTGATGTACTGCTCATGAAATCTCAGTATTATCAGCTGCTGTTTATCTGAATACAGAACAGACTTTCAACAATCTTACTGTTGGATGTCTCTTTCTGGCCGGTGTCTTCTGCCAGGATGGATGTTCCCCGGGGTTTTATTGCCAACACGTCTCCGTCTAGTAAACGTCGACTGGGGTCTGATCCACACATGAACAACCGCTCTCGATATATCAGGACGAATATCGCGATGGGCACTGGAAGCTAAAGAAAAACAGAGTTATGACTGGTTTAAAGGGATAGTTGACCAAAACACTTTAATTCTGTCATCATTTAATCATCTTTCTCTTGTTCCAAACTTGTTTGACTTTCTTCTGTTGAACACAAAAGATATTCCTGGCAGCCAATGACTTCTGTAGTATTTTTTGCTGACAAGGTGTACGTCACTGTAAAAAAATATCCGTTTTCTGTATTTTGTGATTCATGTTTTTATTTTTCCATGTATATTTATGCTTTTAAAGTGCATTATGAGACTTAATCTTTTGTCCAACCACTTTTAACCTTGAAGAGTAAAAAAAAAAGTGACTTTTATTGACATTTTTTTGGTTTAAAGTGCTATATTGTCTGGGTTGGTGTTATCTGGGTTGATATTACGCTACAAAACCCTTGTAATAAACTGCCAGAACATTTTCTGGTATTTTACAGACGTATTTCTCTTTATTATTTCTTATACAATATATTATTTCAAACACCTAAAAAGTCAATAAAAGTCACTTTGTTAAACTGCAGAGCTGAATTTTCAACATCATAAGTCGACAGAGCAGAGATCAACATCCCACAATGCAATTCACAACCGTAAATAAGCAGAAAACAATTGTAAATCACAAAATACAAAAACTGTTAATTAACAGATATTGTTTATAGTGTGTTTCCAACATTTTTTTCTGAATATTTTGTATTGTGTTTCCATTTTTGGGTAAAGTATACCTTTAAGCGCAATTAAAGCTTGTTTTAATTGTAAAGAATCGTTCATTTGAAATGGTTCTCTAAAATGATTCAGTTGAACTGCTGAAACTCTCCTTCAAAGATGACTTGCATAACAAAACCACAGTAAGCAGTATGAACTCAAATTTAACCTCTGAACTTTTTAAAACTCGTTGTTTTAAAAGATCTAAACTACAGCATATACAGACATGATCGCTTTTGTGTTGTTTTATGCAAATATAACCGTAGAAATATGTCAGTAGAAAGTGAGCTTATTTTTAAGCTACAGAATTAAGTTCTTATGGAAAACATTTTTAATTCGTCCACATTTATAATTACATTTAAATTGAATTGTAACTTATACTGTACATTACCTTTCAATTGTACGACGCTCACAAAGGCTGCATTTATTTGGAAATTCTAAATATACAGTTGAAGTCAGAATTATTAGACAGAATTATTATTATAATTAATTATTATAATTATTTTTTGCCTATTTTTGTTTAACGGAAAGAAGATTTTCAACTCATTTCTAATAACTGATTTAACTTTTATATTTGCCATGATGACAGTACATAAATGCTTAACTTTGCTGACTTTAAGGGTAATTAGGCAAGTCATTTTATAATGATGGTTTGTTTTATAGCTAATTGAGAAAAAAAATTGCTTAAGAGAACTAATAATATTAACCTCAAAATGTTTTTTAAAAATAAATTAAAAAAAACTTCTTAAAACTGTTTTTATTCTAACCAAAATAAAACTAATCAGACCTTCTTCAGAAGAAAAAATATTACAGCAAATACTGTAAAAATTCCTTGCTCTTTTAATAATTTTGGGAAATATTTGAAAACAAAAAATAAACAGGAGGGCTAATAATTTTGACTGTATATCTTTACAGGCATTTTTAATATGAAGCCTTCCTGAAATTAAAGCATTAATGTATCTTTAAAAAATATTTGCCCAACCAATGAAGATCAAGATCACAGAACAACCTAAAAGTTCTTACATTTTAATCTGTTTGTCGTCCAAAAAGGAAAAGACTAAACCTAACATGTGTGAATTAGTGAGTAAAGATGAGGTGAAGCACCACGGTAAGATGGATGTTTTCTGCACCAGTAGTTCAGTCTCTTATAAAGCTACGTGACAGGGTGAATGCAAATGATTAGCAGAAGTGGTGGTTCCTTCCCAGGTTCATCAGCCAGAAGTTTACAATATCCACTGGAAGTCACAATTATTCGCTCTCCTGTGAATTTTTTTTCTTTTTGGAATTTTTTCCAATTTATGTTTAATAGAGAAAGGAAATTTTCACAGTACTTCCCATGATATTTTTTCTTTTGGAGAAAGTCTGATTGGTTAAATTTTGGCTAGAATAAAAGCAGCTTTAATAAAAAAATAAATAAAATAAATAAATAAATAAATAAAAAAAACATTAAGGTCAATACTATTAGCCCCCTTAAGTACGATATAATTTTGATTGTCTACAGAACATACCATCATAGTTGAGCCTTTAAATGTCACTTTTAGCTGATTAATACTAGTATCTTGAAAAATATCTAGTCAAATATTATTTACTGTCATCATGGCAAAGAAAAAAAGAAACTAGAAATTAGATACTGGACTAGGGGTGGCCAAGCTAAAGCATGTACTCTGGTCCCCCGGCTCTGCGATGGTTGGGGAAATTCAAAACTGAACCAAAACAAAATATTACAATTGACTTAAGATTGGATTGAACATTCGGGAATCACAACCAGCTGAACCTGGAAATTTGTACAAAAAAAAAGAAGAAGAAATTAGATATTAAAACCTTTATATTTAGAAATGTGTTGAAAAAAAATCTCCTCTCTAATACAAGGAAATTGGGGAAAAATATACTGGGGGGCTAATAATTCTGACAATATATATATATATTCCCCCTTCTTGATATTGTCCAGGTGTTAAACATGTCAGTTGCACTATCACTATTTGTCCAGTTTAGTCATGAAGAATTATAGATCAGTGTGTACAGAACTGTTAGATGGGAGCAGTTGCCAAGGAGACAATCTTGATTCCCGTCTTTTATTCAAATAGGCTCCTGGTTGGCTCTTCCTTTCACAGTCGAGCTGAGGGTATTTAGTGTGCAGATCATACACACACAGCTGAAAATACGCTTTATAATGATTTCCCTGTAATGTATTTTTTATATAATGTTGTGCTTTGCAAAGTTACAAAGCTAATAGTCTCCCGCAAACAGCATGTATTCTATTTAATGTCTGTTGAAGGTGATGAAAATCAAGAGTAGATTGCTAGGATTAGCAGTGATTAAAGGGATAGTTCACCCAAAAATGAAAATGACCTCATCATTAACTGTGCCACATTTGGTTTTTAAACCTTTATGAGTTGCCTTCTTATTAAAAAATGGCTCTTTTGACAGATTATTTTCAATGGCGGCAGCATGGTGGCATGGGTAGCACAATCGCCTCACAGCAAGAAGTCGTTGGTTCTAATCCCGGCTGAGTCAGTTGCCATTTCTGTGTAGAGTTTGCATGTTCCCCCCATGTTCACATGGGTTTTTTCATGGGTGCTCCGGTTTCCCCTACAAGTCCAAAGACATGCGCTACACGTGAATTGAGTAAGCTAAATTGTCTGCAGAGTATGTGTGTGAATGAGTGTGTATGGGTGTTTCCCAGTCATCCGCTGCATAAAACATATGCTGGATAATGCCTAGTTCAGACTGCGTGATTTTAGCCCCGATTTTGGCTCGCCGACAGGTTTAGAAATCGCAGACAAATGCCTGAAATCACAGGCAAATCGCTGCTTGTGCACGTGAGTGACAATCACACAGTATGAACTATCAAAGACGCGATCTGAGAGAATCGCTGATGAGTCGCCGATGCATGCGAGATATTTGGCGTGCTGAATATCTGGAGCTGTCGGCGATTCAAATCATGCGGTGTGAATTGAGTTTTGACTGAAAATAACATCGGCGATCGCCCACAGCCAATGAGAGAGCAGCATTCACTTGTGTGTGCGCGTGTGTGTATACTTGCTGCAGGCCAGCGGGAGGCTGGGGGAGAAGTTAAAAGCGCTCTTTTTCGGTTTATTTGGACCCATGAAATGGAGGAAAAACTAGTGGAGGTTTGACAGGACTCAGGAGCAACCATGTCTGTTTGACGTTTCATCCAGAAAGAAATTAGTTTATTATTAACGTTGAGGAGAAATGGCTAATTCCCTTTAAACCCAGGTGAGCAAATATGTACATTTTCTACCCCATTAAAGGCTTCCTTCTCAATATGTAGTTAATAACAAAAGATATACTACGTGTTTTTGGCTGTGAGATGTAGTTTGGACAAACTTGTCGGCGATTCTTCCTATAGTAAAGTCATGCAATGTGAAAGTCCCTGTCGCCGATCCATCTTGCAATGTAAATAAAGCAGCGACGAAACGCTAGCCTAGATAGTCATGCAGTGTGAAAACATCTGTGACACGACTACTTTGAAAATCATGGAGTCTAGTGGTTAGTGCGTCGACGCATAGCACTGAGGTGCTTGCAGCGACCCGAGTTCGATTCCTATCTCGAGGTCCTTTGCTGATCCTTCTGATCTCTGCTCCCCACACTTTCCTGTCTCTATATCTTAACTGTCCTATCAATAAAGGTGAAAACCCCTAAAAAATAATTATAAAAAAAAGAAGAAAAAAAAAAGAAAATCATGCAGTCTGAACTCGGCATAAGTTGGCGGTTCATTCCACTGTGGTGACCCCAGATTAATAAAGGGACTAAGTCTAAAACAAAATGAATGAATGAATCTGGAATCAACCAGCCCTAAATTCCAGGCTGAGCATGAAGTCCTGGCTATACTTCAAACTAAATTTAAGTAAATGAATAAATCAAATGAACCGAAAAGACAATTTTAAACAAAATCCGGCCAAAATAAAATTAGTTGAGGTTATTAAAGCAGTTCGAAAAATCTCAACCAAAGCACATTTTATGTGAGAGTTCATTTTGGCTCTGCAACATCTTTGAGCTGCCATTGGTCTGTGGCGATTGCGCAATCAGCGGATAAGTCCTGTAACTCCGCCTTTTTTGACATGCAGCAAACAGAAAACAATATAAAGATGTGTTTGCTCAAAACTAAATCTACTCTGTCATCATTCATTCATCAACTAGTCACAAACCTGTTCGACTTACTTTCTTCAGTTGAACACAAAAGAATATAATTAGAAAAACCTGCAACCAGGGACTTCCATGGTATTTGTTTTTCCTACTGTGAATGTCAAGGGTTTCTAACATTCTTCAGAAAATCTTCTTTTGTGTTCAAAAGAAACTCTAAAGGCTGATTTATACTTCTGTGTCAAATGCTGACGTGCACCTCTCAAAAATTGTAACTACACGTTGCAATGACGCGTAGCGCAAGCTCTGTGATTGGTCGGCTTGGTATCGCTGACGAGTCTGGGCGGGACTGAGAGCCGCGCGAATGGCGCGAGCTGGACGCGAGCCCGATGGAGCGATTGTTTACAAGTGTGGAGTCTCATGAAGGAGCTCCTGATGGAAAGTTTTGTTTTGTGTTTACCTCATAGCTAAAGTTGTTGCACGTCCGCAGGTTCCTGCCTCAAAATGAGCGAGTTTGAGCCACTTGTACATCCAGGAAGTGTTCAGGAAAAGCAAAACACCAACGAAGAAACTCGACACAGAGGAACATTAACACCTCACTGCCAACTAGCATTTTGGAAGTGTTAATGCAGACCGACAGAGACAGCGCGCAGAAGTATAAATGCACAGCTACGTGCGTTGCATGCGCCGTGGGTCACGCCGGTCACTTGACGCAGAAGTATAAACCAGGCTTACGGTTTGGAAGCACTTGAGGGTGATTAATCTTGTATTTTTAGGTGAACTATCCCTTTAAGAAAATAAGAAGCTCTTCAACCCTTGTGTACTGTTCATATTGACCACCCTATTGTTATGTTGGTGGCTGTTTTTGGCCTATTGATTTCCAATATAGTGACATATTTTGATTGTAAAGCTATGATGGTGTATAATCATGCATTCTTGATTGTTGGTGGTTTTCCTTGTTGGGATGAGGTCAAACTTGTCATTTTTAATGTTGATCATCAGTTTTTTTAACCCTTTATGGCCTGTTGCCAAGTTAACGCTCAAATTCACCCCAGAGTGGAAACATAGCAAAGAGCACACAAGTGTTAAAGCCAGACTCACATTGATGATAGCCATGATCCAGAAGGCGTAGGAGACGTTGGTCACCACCTCTCCGTCGGTGTGAAGGTGGACGTTGGACACGTTGTGCACATGTCTGCCCGCCAGCTTGTTCCTCAGATCTTCTAATGATGTTGTGTTGACGCTGCTGTTGCCGATCACACAGCTGGTGTCAGACAGAAAAGGGTCAGCAATAAGGGGACTCACTAACGCCCCGAGACCCACAAAAAAGTGGAGAGCCTGGAGGAGATCAGAGAGAAAGAGCACAGCAGACAGACAATCAGTGCTGCTCTTCTTCTAAGACCAGACTTTGAAAAAGAAAAAAAGTTTTAACTGCAACTTTATGTAACACAGTTTTGAAGTCTGATTGGATGGTGGCTCAGTGGTTAGCACTTTCGCCTCACAGCAAGAAGGTCGCTGGTTTGAGTCCCGGCTGGCTCGGTTGGCATTTCTGTGTAGAGTTTGCATGTTCTCCCCGTGTTGGTGTGGGTTTCCACCGGGTGCTCCGGTTTCCCCGACAGTTCAAATGAAGACATGCGCTATAGGTGAATTGAATAAACTACATTGGCTATAGTGTATGTGTGTGAATGAGAGTGTATTAATGTTCCCAGATCTGGGTTACAGGTGGAAGGGCATCCGCTGTGGAAAACATGCTAATTAAGTAGGCGGTTCATTCTGTGTCGACCCCTGATGAGTAAAGGGACTAAGCTCAAGGAAAATTAATGAATGAATGGATGATATACACTCGCTTTGTGTGGCGATTAAGACATCATTATGAAATCACTAATTCATATAAAAGGGGTAGTTCACCCAAAATTTAAAAATACATCATAATTTACTTTCCCTCTTGTGTTTTTTTTCTTTTATTTTTTAGAATTTCTTCGTCATGATCTATATTATTTTGTGTTTAACAAAAGAAAATCAAACAGTTTTTTATTATTATTATTGTGTTTTAAAAAATCTGAATTAAATACAAACAAAAGAAATAATTTGTATCCATATTAAAATTTAAAACTTCAAATTTCAGGTTTTATTAATCATTATAAATCATTATTTAACTATTTGTTTTTATTTGACAAACCACAAATTAAACAAACAAACAAACAATAATAATAATAATAATAATAATAATAATAATATCTTAAATACATTAGAAAGGTTTTGAATCAGAACGGTCACAAAACGACCCCATACTATGGTAACATATGTAATAATTAATTTATCTAATATAATTATTAGATTATGCATTAAAATATTAAATAAATATATTCTTTAAAAAAAAGAATAATCAAAATATTAAAATAAAAGTAAATAAATAAACAAACAAACAAACAAACGAGTAAATAATTTGTCAAATCTGTCAAATTCAAAATAAAAAAACGAACTGCAAATTTCAAAATGATCTATATTAATACTTTATAAGAGACCACATGATTTTTATAAATAATTACTCATCATTACAATTATGACAATAAATCATTATTAAAAAAAGGGATGAACTGAAAGATCAAATCAAAATGAATAGTAATATTTTTGATTTATTGATCATTCATTTTCCTTTGACTTAGTCCCTTTATTAATCAGGGGTCGCCACAGTGGAATGAAACACCAACTTATCCAGCATATGTTTTACGCAGCGAATGCCTTTTCAGCTGCAAACCATCACTGGGAAACATTCATACACTCTCATTCACACATACACTAAGGCCAATTTAGTTTACCCAATTCACCTATAGTGCATGTCTTCGGACTACTGTGACACCCTATGGTTTTATATTATGAATATAAAATTATAATAATAATAATAAAATTAATAATAATAATACTTATTTATTAAATTATTAAATGTACGTTTCCTATTAACAAATGTGATTTTAATCTAATAAAGATATTAAATAAATGTTTAAACAAAATAAACCACTTAAACTTGTGATTTTACAATGATTTGACTTGAACTTCACGTTAAACCGATTAAAAATCAATAACTAAATCTAAATTGAAACTAAATCTGATTAATATACACCATGAAACATTTAATTTCAGAGAGCATTTTTGTATCTTAACAGTTAAAAAAACAAATATAAGGTTACATTAAATTTGAAACGGCAATCTCCAAACCATTCTCAGATGGCAGGGGGGCCAAATCAAAGGTTACCATGGGCCAACTTTGGCCCGCAGACCCTAGTTTGGGCATCTCTGCTTTAGACTGTGGGAAATGTTTCAGGTGAAGTGTGCTGCTTGTTTGTTTTGTTAAGATGTATGTTTGTTATGACGTGATGTACTCCGTTTAATTCATGTACTTCTTAGGTACCCCTTGAAAATGAGATGGTTCATATCAAGGGGCTATCCCATTTAATATATTCAAAGTTAAATTTTAAGGTTAATATTATTAGCCCCCTTAAGCTATATTTTTGATCGTCTACAGAACAAACCTGTTATACAATGACTCGCCTAATTACACTAACTTGCCTAGTTATCCTAGTTAAGCATTTAAATGTCACTTTAAGTGTAATATACAAGGGGGCAAATAAATCAGGTGGGCAAATAGACTTCCTGAAATCTGATTTTCAACATTTTTTTTTTCCAGACCAAACCAAACGCTGACCTGCAGGAAAACGGTGGAGTCTTTCTGGTAGATCTTGACCAGCTGCAGGTTAGAGATGGTGTCGATGATGCCCATGGCAAGACCAGACACTGCCATGGCAAACGCCAACATGAGAAGCTCGCGGCATAATGGGATGATGGCAAAAACCACAGAGATAATGAGGGTGGATACGGCCAGAGATGACAGCGAACTTACAAGCCTGACAAAATAAAACAAGAAATACATTGGGCATTAACCAAACTTGCTTTCTGTACCAGGTTACAAAACAAAGGCTATATCAAAAAAAAGCATCACCCCTTATTTCCTTAAATAATGCACTATTTGAGGGAGCACTGGCTAAAATGTTCATTAAATATATCAGTTTAATAAATCTGTTTTGTTCAAATGCTCCAAACTAAGCGATATTCACTGAGAAATAGATAAAAATATTCATTTTCAAAATGGGGTGTACTCAATTATGTTGAGCACTGCATGTATGCATGTATCAGATATTTAAGAGGAATGAACTCATTCAGTTTTCCATAAGGTTTCAGTGGCTTTTTTGATCTTGGAATGACTTCCCACACTCAAAAAAATATATATCCGTTTGTCCAATCTACGCATATATAATGAGCTGAAACAATGCAATTCTTTAGGGTTTTTTGGGGACAAAATTATTTTATGTTCAATCCACTTAATTTTGTAAAAACAAATAAGTTAACTTAATTTCTTCATGGTGTCCCATCACAAATCAATTGTGTGGAACCCAGCATTTTTTTTTTACAGTGCACAAACTGCATATTCTTGACATAAGTCGCCGATAAACAATAAGACACTGTCATTTTTATATAACACGGCTCGTAGTTATTCGAACAAGCAAAGAAAAGGAGTTTTTAACATTTATATTTAAAGATGTGATGGTGAACTTTGGTGAAGGTTGATTAAAACGTTTTGCTTTCTAGGTGCATGAATAAAATCACTTTTGTAAGTGGAACAAAACACCAAAGGAAGACTTCTCATCTTTGACCCATTAACAAAACACTTTTTAAATTCCAGGTTTCAAATCCTCTTTATTTAGAGGAACTAGAGCACATAAAAACTGTAAAACCACTTTGGTGTTTTGCATAAAAATGTACTAAACTCTTTTTATAAACAGAACACAGATATAAACACACACGTAAGTACCCACTTTGACATCACAAACAACTTATGTCAAAATGTGAAATAGTGTTTTCACCATTAAGTGTGTAACGCATATACAGTTGCAATCAGAATTATTAGCCCCCCCTTTGAATTTATTTTTCTTTTTTAAATATTTACCAAATTATGTTTAAGAGAGCAAGGAAATTTTCACAGTATGTCTGATAATATTTTTTCTACTGGAGAAAGTCTTATTTGTTTTATTTCAGCTGTTTTTTTCCCCCAATTTGTTTAACACAGAAAAGATAAACATAATAGTTTTTAATAACTCATTTCTAATAACTGATTTATTTTTATCTTTGCCATGATGACAAAATACTATTAAATTAAATCTAATATTAAATTAAAGTAAATAATATTTTACTAGATGTTTTTTCAAGACACTTCTATACAGCCTAAAGTGACATTTAAAGGCTTAACTAGGTTAACTAGGCAGGTAAGGGTAATTAGGCAAGTTATTGTACAACGATGGTTTGTTCTGTACACTATCGAAAAAAATAAATATCTTAAAGGAGCTAATAAAATAGATCTTAAAATGTTTTTTTTTTTAAATTTAAAACTGCTTTTATTCTATCCGAAATAAAACAAATAAGACTTTTTCCAGAAGAAAAAATATTATCAGACATACTGTGAAAATATCCTTGCTCTGTTAAACATAATTTGGGAAATATATATAAATATATATATATATATATATATATATATATATATATATATATATATATATAAAAAGAAAAATCTAATAAGACTAATAATTTTGACTTCAACTGTATATTGTGATACGACTACAATTTCACTAGATGACTTGAATCTCTCTATTTGTAAATAATTAATCATTTCAGATCAATTGGGATGATTTTGTAAAGACGTGCATCTGCATAAAAACTTATGAACAATCTACAAGCATATATAAATACAGTAAAGAAAAAGATACAGTTGAAATACAGTGTTTTATGAGTTTTTAGTCTTCAGGTACTATAATTGAATAACAAAAATAATTCAATAAAATTAATTGGTATTAAAGTTACAAACTGTATATAGTTTCTCCACATATATCACATAGAAAGGACCGCTTCTTTTTACATTTTAAAGTATATACTGAAAACTGTACTCATATGGGATTATTTTTCTCATTTTATTTAGAACTTCTGGGTAAATGTCTGATTGAATCCAGAAATTGTTGATCAATCAATATTTATGAAAAATAAAACACTTATGCCTGAATTCTTTAAAAAATCAATATTCAGTCAGAGGCCTCAAAAACATGTAAATGTTGCATATTATTTCATATCCTGCGATATGCCTATAGCGAATTATCCCATTGCGAATATCAATGCTGAAACGATATATTGGGCTGCTCTAATATAAATTATTCATTCACTTGATGACATTGTAATTGGTCTTCTGTTTTAATACGTCTTCTGTAAACAATGGTAAAAATGTATTCATATTGTTGCACTGTTAAATGGGACACACTCACATGTATGTGGGGGAAAGCTAGAATGAAAGCTGTTTAATTCTTTAATAAGTAACAGAGAACACGTGTTTAAATATATTACAAGGTTAAAGAGCTTTTACTTTACAACCATACAAATCTACCGAGATAAACAAGCTAATGCTGTTATCTGTAAGGAGGAAAAAAACAGAAAGGGTAGCTAACACTGGGGTTGGGAAATATAATAAAACATGTCATATTTTGATAACAGTATACATCAATATATAGTAAATTCAATCAATTAATAGTTAATTAATTTTCAGACATACTGTGAAAATTTCCTTGCTATTTAAAAAAGAAAAGAAAATTCAAAGGAGGTTTAATATAAATAAATAAATAAATAAATAAATAGTATAGGGATGCAACGGATATAAATTTTGGTTGTGCGATTATGGTCTAAGAAATAATCACAATTATTTGCGTTCATTGATTTCAAAACTACTAATTTAAAACTAAAATTATTTTCAATTTGGTTTTGTAGTTCGAGCCCAAATACATATTTGTTGCCGTTTTAAAAGTTCATTTGATTGACTCAGTGGATATTATTGATGCATTTTTAGGTAAAATTGCTAATTTTATATACATATATACAGTATGTTCTCATCGGCACCATTATTTGTAACTATAAGTAGGTTTGCAAGCCTGTGTACTTTTCATTGGTTCTTCCTCAAACTTCATCTCAACTAGGTGCGCCTGAAAAGCGTGAACGTGTTGCGTTGTGTGCGCGTCCATTGGAAATAACGAACTTGAACTAGCTTACCCTAAATTAATATCCTCAGTCATAGTTAGTCCAGTGTGCGTGGTTATTATGCCACAGTTGGCGTAACTTTGTTTAGTTGCTGCATTTTTGTTCTGTTCAAAAACACAGTGTTGAGAAGCCTTTACAATAAATTAACCGTGACAAATTAAATCGCGGTTAATAGTGAAACCGGTTAATCGTTGCATCCCTAATATAGTATATCACAAAGAAAGAACTGTTTCTTTTTTACATTTTAAAGTGTATACTGAAAAAAGTACTTATTCATATGGGATTATTTTTGTCATTTTATTTAGAAATTCTGAGTAAATGTCTGATTGAATTTAGAAATAGTAGATCGATATTCATGAAAAATAAAACACTTTTCAAAAATGAATGATTCTATGAAAAAGTGCAAACTATGTATTTAGCAAAACCACAAAACAAACGGCAAAACAAAATATGAAACGAAAGACTGTATTTTTTCACTGTCCTAGTTTCCAAACAAAAGCAAATATAAGATCTGAAGATCAACACATGATACTTCAGGAGAATCTATTCCTTTTATTTCCTTGTTTTTTTCATACAATAATACATGCGGAACGTTTCCTTGGTACAAGGTAAATGAAGGATGACCGACAAAACAAACAAACCAATTTACAAACTGATTATCACTAGCAAAATATATGCCAAGGAAACTTTTGTTAAACAAAACATCCAGTTAATCCTTGAATGTTGTGACATAAAAAAAACAAGTATTCACTGTAAAAAATGCACGGTTTCACACAACTCCTTAATGTTTTCCCAACACAAATTAAGTTAATTGTTTTTACAGATTTAAGTGGATAAGTGAACATAAAACAATCAAGTTTTCCCCCAAAAACTTGGGAACTGTGTTGGTTCAACTCACTTTAAAGTCAATTTTTGATTAGTTCCAAACCTTCCTGAAAAAGGTATTTTTGCATGAACTAATTAAAAGGAACATAGCAAAAGTGAACTTTATGGTGTCTTTATCTGTCAGGCAAAACAACAGCAGGGAAGCGAGTGTTTTTATGGCTCAAGTCCCAGATAACTGAGACTGAATGACTTTAATGAGCACATGACCACTACAGGCTTTTCAAGACAGAGGCCACAGAGAAGTCAAAAACTATTTATCACAAAACTGATAATGATAACATTTATGATGATTAAAGCATGCCAACAAAAGATTTCCGCTCTTATTTACATGCAGTTTAACCTCATGAGGAAATATACATAAGGACTGACTGTGAGGAAAACAAAAACTTCTGATTCTCTCTTTGTAATAATCCTTAATCATAATGTTTTGACCCTGCATTTGAGCAATCAGAATTACTGGAGAACTAGATGGATCACTCAGTATAATAATAGCCATCATAAAGATGATTACCACCAATGTAGGTCAAAATATTTGAAGAAATCTGACTTTAATTGATTCTTTGAAAGCCCTCTTTTTTTCTCGGTTCCTCTTTGTTGTGAGTGTGGAACGGAACTAGGGTGTAATTAAAGACCTTTCTGTAAAAACACATCTGTAAATAATATATTAAAATAGGGAAGTTGTTTACATATAACTAGTGCAAACTTTTTAATTGCATTTAACACTGATATTTATTAGCAAAAATGGACACATTTACAGAGGAAACAGCATGTAGAGATCACTTTAAAAACTATTTTGATTATTTGTAGGCACAAAAAGGTACACTGCATTAATAAAAAGTCATAATAACTGCGTGTATGATAATTAAACACTTATTTTATGTTATTGTTAAACTTAATTAGGTTAAACCAAGTCATGCTACTAAAATAAATGTGTCCACCACCCAATACAAAGTGCAATATAATTCTGTTGACATCAGAATCTCGCCAAAATACTCACGTTTTACTGAAGAATCCTCCAATTGTGCTTCCAAGAAAGAGGAAAAACTGCTGGGAAAAGAAGACCAGAGTGATCTCCTGTAAAGTGGACTGAGTTTGACACCTCAGGTCCAGGATGGTCGGACCCAAAAAAGCGACACACAGTCCAAAACTGAAGAAAACACTCCAGTATGTAAGAGTATGCTGCCAGTTACTGCGGAATAACGCGCAGATCCGTTCGTTGAGCAGATAAGTCATGCTGGAGAAACTTTCTGAAGTCTCTCTGGAGCATTTGCAATTCTTCTTATGCATGAGAAAACTTGTCTGAAGGGAGAGTCGCGTGCTCAGAGCGATCAGAGCGACGATGCTTGTCCGACTCCCAAACGAGTCGTTCATTCGAAGCGGTTCTTTTAAAAGATTCGGTCAAAACGGCTGATGTGGAGAGGCGTTGATGGAAACATTTCGGAAGTATGTTTTGGTGTTTTATCAATGTTTTTTTAATGGTCTTAATATGCTGAAATTAAACATATTAGAACTGGTTTTAAAGCAAAATTCAAACACACAATAAACCATAATGCTTAGTACTTCATGTGAGATAGTTCACCCAAACACCACCAGGCAATCCTAAATGTTGGCGACTTCATCTTTTAACCCTTTCACTGCAGGCCCATGGCCAGCCTGGGGAAAGAGGACCAAAAAGTGGACCTTTTTGCAATCATACACCTCATTTTCTATTTAATTATGAAATTTAAAGACTGCATTTAGGTGACATTTTAAACACTATATTGAATTAGCTTGTCGGATGGTCATCATAACCACATGTTTTGACTATTTTAGCCAAAATAGCATTCAAATCAATTTTAATATGGGCCGCTTTTGGTGCTTCACATGTTTATATAGGTCATTTTTTTGTTTTTAAGAAAAAGCTTCAAGGTTTAAAATAAAAGTTAAAATGTTTTCTCAACCATACAGTAGCGAAAGATGACTTCTCTTATGTCAGAATGTGTTTTCTTGCACAGCTGGATGTTGTACTCATGAAAAGTATTTGTTAGCATTGGCCAAAACTGATTAGCCGAAGTCACACTGAAGCGACAGCCAACAGATGGTTCATCTTAGTCTTAAAGCCTTTTTCAATAAGTTATTTTAAAATCAAAAATAGGACAAATTAGCTCATGTATGGCACAATTTCTGCACCTTTGTCAGTGAAGGGTGGGAAAATTCTAAATCAAACAAAAAGGGCTCAGGTGTAGCTTAAATAATGTGCCGGTGCTTTTTGGGTAAGGGATTCATCAGAAAAAAACTGCAAAAATCAGTCAAAGGCACTCGAAAAATGTGGAAAAAATATTAAAAAGCCCTTTTTCACATGGTTAATAGTTAAAAAACCTACACGTTTTCAAGTAAATATATATATATATATATATATATATATATATATATATATATATATATATATATATATATATATATATCCTTTCTGTCTGGGGCAAAAGATACCTGTTCCATTGATGCTGTTTGTTTACACCGATGTCATATTGTTCATTAAAATGGTACTTGATAAAGCAAAAGAAAAGTTATATTCATATTAGATCGGAAACATTTATAAATGTTGCATTCTTGATGGCTGTGAACACACTCAAGACTGTCGAAGCTGTATATATGCTGTAAATGTTTTTCAGTTTCTTGCACAGACTAATCATTTTGCTTCATATGGCCTTATTGTATTGTCAGGAGCCATTGGTATTAATTTACTTATTTCTGAATATCTTTTTTGTAGTGTTTTTTAATTTATTTTTTTCCTCACCCAGATACCCAAAATTCTTATGTTTTTTGCAACGCAATCTCATGGCAACTCAAACTTTTTAATTAAGTGGCTGATTAATTTAAATTTGTAAAATGTCATTCATACATTTTAGTAACATGTGGTCATACCAAATGTGTAAGTTCAGTCTTGGGGTTTGGACGCATGCCTCCTTTTATAAAATGTAAGCTTTCATATAAATGCAATTGTATAAGTCTAAACAAATTAGCCACTTTTCTGTCTATAAGTAAAATAGTTATGTTTCCTCCTGAGATCAGGCTGGGGTTTTGGGAACCAAATAAGAACGTTCTAGTAACATTCTCTGTAGGTTCTTTTTTTGTTACCAAAAACAAGCTCTCCCAGAATGTTTCATGGTTTGTTTATCTAAGTGGTTTTTTTTTTTAAATTTGTAACAACTTAAAGCTGGAATGACATCAAAAATACTCTCCTTTACAGTAACACTTGTGCTTGTATCTGTGCACTTCCTTATTTTTTAAAAATTTATTTGCCCTCATCATTTTTTTAATCGAATACCACAATCTTCCCTCCCCTCATAATGACTTTTCTTTACTTCTGGTCACATGAAATGTATTTTAGGAGGGGCTATCAGGGCATGTCTCATTTCAGATCTGGCATCTATTCATGAAGACTTCCATCTTCCAGTGATCCAACGGTGTATATGCACAGTTAGTGTTTTTCAGCCAATGATAAACTTCCAGTGAAAGCTTAATGTGACTATTTTCAATTACACAAATTTTCTTTTACAGCATGGGTGTTGTAAAGTAATTACAATACATTCAGTTAAATATACTTAGGTATTAATTTAGTTGTTCAAGCGTAAAACAAGATGAAAGACCACTAGCGCGATCAATACCAGCAGGGTAAACTCCATTGAAAATATTGGGGTAAAATAAATTGTCATATTTTAAAGATATGGCGGGGGAAAATATAATTTACGCAGTGCTTCTTGTCCGGTCTGAGACGCACTTCATATCATATATCTAACAGGCAGTGAAGATTATTGATTTTTAAAGAAATCAGATCTTAAACGTAGCAATTTTGTAATGGAAAGACAGTTCACTGAAAGCACTGGGGCTGACTAGCTGAAAATTAAAAACCGTGTGCATTTACCCCATTGGATCTCAAAGAACAAAATCATGCATCACCCTTCATTTATTAATTTATTTAAATTTTAGGACTATTTCAATTGGATGTACGTCATGATAAAATGTCTCTAATCTTAAGAGATGCTCTCTTTTTGTAAAAAAATAAGAAAAAAGTAAACAAATACCCGTCATGACTAACCAACAGAACATCCAGGTAAGCAAAAATTGTAACCTGGGCAGGACTTTGACTGGTTTCAGCAAAATAAATAAGACTTTAACCCTTTAACTGCCCCACTAAGAAAAAAATAGATTGCCTTTCTTAAGTCCTAATGTCACTACTTAACACACTAGCATTTTTAACACATCCCTTAATTTCTAAAAATATCAACCTCTGGTAGATATGTCAGTTTATGGTAAAAGTACAGGAATTAATACATATACTATGAAAAATCTAAAAATATGAAGTGTAAGACCAATTTATTAAAAAATAGATTCATAATAAAACATTTTTGAATACTAAATCATCTTTATTTTTTGAAGTATGCCATAAAATATTTCAGATCTCATTTAACATGCTTTTTGTTGTTGTTTTTTTTTACAACGAAACCAAAATCAAGTGTAGTAGTGCAACAGGATTATGTGTGTTGTTTGATTATTTTGTAAACCAACAATGCTGTGTGTGTATTTTAAACCATTATTTAAAATAGTTATTCTTTGACTTTAACACTGATTATTTAAAACAGTCAAACTATACGCTCAACCATTTGGTAGAGCAGGCAGTTAAAGCGTTAATGTTTTGCTAAAGAAAAAGCCACCTAGATTTTGGATAGTCTGGTGGATAAAAAACTAAAATAATCATCTTTAGATGAAATATTTATTTAAATATTTCTGAAACACAACTAGCTTTCCCATTTTAACGAACTGATTCGCGTATAATGAGTTTAACTCAATTGTGAGGCGATCAATTGGTGTTTTCGAAGGTTTGGTGACTCAAACGAATCGATTCGGTTAAAGATTCAAACACCCAAAACTGATTCGTGCAACAGGTGTGTTTCTCTACGAGTTGGTCCTCCCACATAATTCGCTCGCTATCAAAACTAACAAAATCGAGGTGAAGAAATCACGCATTGCTGCCTGAGGCGACATCATGTTTGGAGGCTTTACTGTATGTTTCATTTCCAGCGTAAAGATCTGACAGGTCGGAAAGTTCTTCTGTCTCGTTAAAAGCGTTATTTTCACAATTTGACACAAACACACTCATTTAAACACATTTTTATCTGAGTGCCCTGCAGTGTATAATCACTTATACGTTGCCAAAACCAAGTCCTACTTTTAGTTTACTTTGTGAAGTGTACTAATGACAAACAGCATCATGCAAGACAGTAAGACCATTGTTAGAGCCGAGGATGGAAACATTCCCATGGTCCAACTCAACGTCGTCATTTATTTAGTTTATTATTTAATTACTTTTGGCATTTTCGCAGTCACAATACATTCAGCTTCAGAATATCATAATAGAATAAACAAATCACACAAAATATTTAATATCACATCTCATACAAAAATCTAAATCTTTTATAAAACATTTAGACATCATCTAAGAGCATTTAATATTGTTGTTTATTTACTTTTTTTTCTGGCAAAAACTCACTGAGAATAAATACCTGTCAAAATACATATATTTATATATATTAATTCTTTTCAATAGAGTATTTAAAATATTCTCATTTACCACAAAACACATAAATTAGTGCCACTGCTGGAGTGATGTTAAACTAAATTCCTTATAAGTCATTATATATGTTTTTTTTTCTTTGTCAGTCATTTTCAATAGTATCTCGTTTCCCTGGAGGTCACGCTTTGAGTTTTTCTCCACTAGCATGTGCTCAGTGCCGTTTACAATAAAGAGTCATAGTGCGTTGATTTTAAAACTACAAGATACAGTAGGAGAAAGTGAACAACATTAGGTTTCAATTCCAGGACACTTGCATGCCATGTGCAAATACAGAGTAGCAATTAGCTTAAATGGCAATACCAATAACTGCGTGTGCAATTACTTAAAAGGACCGAGATCCTTGAGAAATTGAAGTAGATTTTTTTTAAAGGCGTAAAATTGGCCCCATCATCTCTTACGGTCTGCAAAAGGCACCTTTTGATGATATTGTAAATTACTAACTAAGTTAAAGATGCTGAAAGTGATTTTTTTTGTGGTTGTTGGAGTACCACAGCTCCTTTGGATTATAAATTAGATTAGTTGTTACTTTTCAATCATTTTGAGAACAGGATGGGAATCTAATTCCGAGGGCTCAATCAAACTGTACTGGGAGCTCAACAAATTAAATTTACACACGTTACAAAACATTGTAATACTTTCGAAAATTATGATCGCAATATACAGTACACTACCTGACAAAAGTCTTGTCACCTATCCAAGTTTATAAACAAATAATAACTTGACTTAGTTGATCATTTGGTATCAGAAGTGGCTTATATGAAAGGCAAAGGCCTCTAGATTACGCTTATTTTAGCTAAATAAAATATGATCATGCCTTGATTTTTAATTATTTAATTAAGACAGTAAAGTCTGACTTTGCTTAGACAAAAGTCTTTTCACTTAACAGAAATAATGTACTGTCTAGAACAGAGATGTCAAACTCAATTCCTGGAGGGCCGCAGCCCTGCACATTTTAGTTCCAACCCTGTTCTCACACACTTACCTGTAGGTTTCAAACAAGCCTGAAGGACTCAATTAGTTTGATTAGGTGTGTTTAATTAGGGTTGGAACTAAACTATGCAGGGCTGTGGCCCTCCAGGAATTGAGTTTGACATACCGAGTCTAGAATATAAAGTCAAGAATTTTGGAAAAAAAAATATATATATATTGTGTATGACTCCCATGAGCTTGATCAAACCATGATTTTTCCTTCACGAAACTTGACTGATTTCTGTGAGAATCTTTGGTCCATGTTGGTTCCAATAGGTCTCCTGTTGTATTTGTGATGATCGGGATGCAGCTCAACAGATGATTCGTCAGAAAAATCGACCTTCTGCCACTTTTCCAAATAATCAACTAGAAGTCAAGTTATTATTTGTCTCTCTTACAACTGGGTTCGACACGGGACTTTTGTCAGGTAGTAATATCAGATGGCTAGTACTCATTATGTTTAGTTTTTGAACTTAAATGGTTTGTTGCAATCAGTTTCCTCAAATGGTTTGAGTTACCTTAACTTATTGGGTTTTACAGTGTAATGAATGTCCATTTCTGAAAATTTGATGTCCATATATAGTTGAGTGAAAAAATTATTCACCCCCCCCCCCCCCTAAAGTGTTTATTTTCAAAATATTTCTGAAGTGATATTTTATGGAGCAAGGAAATTTTCACAGTAATTTCGATAATATTTTTTCTTCTGGAGAAAGTCTTAGGCCATTGTAAAAATATAACAATAAAAGCATTTATTTAATAAGCCTTTTTAAGGTTAATATTATTAGCGCCCTATTTTTTTCAGATTGTCTACAGAACAAACCATCATTATACAATGACTTGCTTAATTACCCTAACTTACCTAATTAACCTTTAAAGCTTCTAAGCTGAATACTAGTATCTTGAAAAATATTTATTCAAATATTATGTACTGTCTTCATGGCAAAGATAGAAAGAAAACAGTTATTAGAAATCAGTTATTTAAACTATTATGTTTATAAATGTGTTAAAACAAATCTGCTAAACAGAAATTGGGGAAAAACATATCCAGGACGGCTAATAAATCTGACTACAATTACATATTTAGAATTTCCAAAGAAATGCAACCTTGGTGCATGGGCATCTTACAAATTGAATGGTAATTTACAGTATATGTTACAACACAATTTAAATGTAATTAAAAATGTTTTCCAGAAGAACTAAATTCTGTATTTTAAAAATAATGGTCACTTTCTATTGACATTGACCTAAATTATATTTGTGGTGTACTCACACTATGCTATCCGAACCGTGCCAATACCCGTTTACGGATTGTTTGAGAAGTGTGAGTGCTCTGAATCGAGCTCAGAAGCGTTCACTTGGCCGAACCTGAACCGGTTCGAAGAGGTGTGCCAGAGCATGGTTCGCTTGGGCTTTGGCGCGGTACGCTTGTGTGTGAGTGCAAAATGTGCCTGAGCCCAAAACTAAAGACAAGACGTGACTTTTAAGGGTTTCATATGGATTTATTAATCATTCTTACCGCTCAATGAATGCAAACTGTCATAGATTATTAAAGACGCAAACTTCTCACTGCACGACAGCTGCACCTTCAGCAAACCTCCTAATTTCTGCAGCACGAGGACTTTATGATTGTTTATGTGCGTCAACAGTGGCTGATCTGTTCTGCGAAATATTTGACTGTGTGTCACCGCATCCCAAACGACTAAAACAATATAACTAAAGAAATCTCCACCGTGCTGAGCGAAAGCGCTTACTGAACAGTGCAGCATCGATGACGTAAGTGTGCCTAGGCCGAACGTAATGTGAGTGCGGGTCGTCGGGGGAGACAGGAGGGGGGACAAGCGTGCTTTGGCCCGGTTCAAGTCAACTGTACATAGTGTGAGTACGGCCTCAGTTTTATTTGCATAAATCAACACAAAAGCTATCATGTTTGTATGTGCTGTTTAGATCTTTTAAAACAACCACAGTTTTAAAAAGTTTAAAGGTTAAATTTAAGTTAACACTGTTTCTTTGGTTTTCATTATTCAAATCATCTTTGACTGAGAGTTTCAGCTGTTCAACTGAATCATTTTACAGAACCATTTCAAATGTACGATTCTTTTACAATTAAAACAAGCTTTAATTGCACCTAAATAAGTTAATAAACCTATCATCTTTAGAAATGTATTGAGAAAATTCTTCCCACCGTTACAGAGAACTTTGGGAAAAAATATCAAATATTAAAAATTTAACAGGCGGGCTATTAATTCTTATAATAATAATAATAATTACTATAACCATATATATATATATATATATATATATATATATATATATATATATATATATATATATATGTATGGATGTATATATATGTATGTATATATAGTATAAATAATTGTTATTATTTGTATGTGAAATTCACAGTCCTTCAGGGGATTGCATTTCACATAAAGCCATTAAGTACATAATCTTATGTATTTATATTTAAATGTTGTAATGTGAATTATTCAATTGTACCAAGTTAATGTAATTCAATGCTTATAATGAAAAAACCCAGAACAACAATAGTAAATGGGGGATTAAATAAAATAAAAAAAGATCACTTGCAGCACCTTAAGTAGTCAGAATTCAATGGTATATCGTGACAAAATTCAAGTAATTCTCTATATTCAATGGCTCAAATATTAATGACAATTTACCATCTAAATATTCTAGTAATGGATGAATGGTTGTAAAGTAAACCATAATATGAGCTCATCCAACGATCAATCAAACACATATGGCAAAACAAGTCAAACCTCAAACTGAAATGGAGGAAATTTCACTGAATGGGAAAAGTCGGTCATGTTTCTTGCACATAAACACACACACACACACACACACACACACACACACACACACACACACACACACACACACACACACACACACACACACACACACACACACACACACACATACAATTAAAAATGCTAAATCTGCACACCTGAAAGTACTACTAGATCCAGGCCAACTCAAGTCTAGACAATTGGGATGTCTTTTCATTGAGTAGCCTACAGCTGTGAGCTTCATGGGTTTAGGTTTGGAAATGACTATAATAGAGATTGAGTATTGGTAAAACTATAGGCTGCTTTAATTAATTTCAGTCTGTTTTCTGAAGTACCGACTGTAATAAATGTGTGTATATGGAAGGATGCATGCATGCATTGCTGTTTTGGATGAGAAAACAAAGCTGTTTGCTTCATAGTGTTTTTGTTCTGCCGATCTCTTCATTCGCATCTCTTTGATTCCTCTCCTCAGAATATGCTTTGTCTGCGGTTCTTGCCTCGACCTGGGATTGGAGAAAATCACTTGTTAGACAAATCTGCAAGAGTACATGATGAGAGTATGTATTACAACAACTTATTATGCTCTAATGCCGTGTTCAGACTGCACGATTGTCAAAGTTGCAAACTGCATGACTATCTGGGGTAGCGCTTCGTCGATGCTGTGTTTACACTGTAAGATGGATCAGGACTGGGGGTTTTACATTGCATGACTTTACAATAGGATTATCGCCAACAACTTTGTCTCTATTTGCAAACTACGTCTCACAACCAAACAGTCATGAGAAGTGACATGTAGCATATCACAGCTTGGAACTATGTTTCTAACTACAGCTCCAGAGGTGTAGTTGCGAGTGCTCAAGTTTGCAACGCAGTTTGTGAATCTTCATTGGAGCGACGAATTTGGGAAATGACAAATCAACAAATTATGTTTGTAACGACGGAACTTGCGACCTTAGTGGCCAATGATGGTTTTGGGAAATGCACCCCTGGGGTCCGTTCTTTGTACGTGGATTACTCAGTTAGCTGGATTTGGATATTGACTATTTGACACGATCCAGGATCGTTTCGTTCTTCAAAGCTGATTCGAAAGTTGTTGTCATAGCAACAGTTCTGCTAGCTCAAACCTGATCAGCAGCAGGTTCAATTCATATAAACAGGATTAGATCGGCTCAGTTCAAGCAAAGATAATACAGAAAGTATGTTCCGAATTCTGATATTTTCTTACAGTTGTAGTTATATACACTTGGGAAAATGGTATATATTTTTAAATATATATAAAGTTATAGTCATTATTAAAATAAATAAAGTTATATATATTAATAAAACGTATGCAATCTGCACCCTCAAAATGAAAGTACAAAGACTGCCACCTGGTGATGCAAAGAGAAAACTTATTGATATGAACTTTTTAAATCGCTTTAGTACAAATTGTGTATAATGTTTATGCCATGTCATAAACATGTTTTGATAGTTAATATGCCAGTGATTTGATGCTTCACAAAAGTTGCAGACACCTTTACCAATATGAAAACTCTTTTGTAAACAACCAGTTATTCTTTACACTGATTAAAAAACGGCTACTATAATAAAGAACATCTTTTCTAAATGTAGAACTAAATACATTGATTTGCATTGAAATAAATGATGAATACTCTTGGCACATGAAAGTGTAAAGCCTGCAGCTCACAACAAATGTGGAAGGTTATTGCGTGTCATATTTAACAAGCCGTTTACTGCTAATTTGATATAATTTTGCTCACATGGATAATTGAATATTAATCAGATGATGTCATTACGCTGCTGTGCCGTCAGCCAATCGTTGCATTGCTGATCATGATTTCGAGGATCGATAGATCTGTCCTTCACAACACACGCAGCGATCTCAGATCAGTTTATTTAGACATTCTAATCTGATTCGCGAACTTGTTTGAAGAACCAAATCTCAAGGCGTTAAATGTCGACGGAAAACGCAAGCAAAAATCATCCCGGTGTGCACAGGCCTTAAGACTGTATTTATCAGAAACCAAATGCACATTAAAATGAGTTCATTTTCAGTTGCACATGCTTTTTCAATACTGGAAAAACCATGAATAGTAATGATGACATTCATATCAATTTGAGTCCTGATCCTTTGGAAGAGCAGGCGAACTGGCTTTTCTTTCATAGCACAGAAAACAGCATCTTCTCGACATGTTGACACACGAACCAAGGTGTTTCAGTCTCATAAACATTTGCATTGTTTGAGTGTCTTGAATGCTCTCTAGTAGTTAAATGTTTCAGAACGAAAGCAGCATGTCTATCTAAATGCTGATTTAACTCTCCTTTCTTGAACGGTTAGTTTGTGTAAATCTGATTTATTTCTTGCACATCAAGAATTTACACTCTTAAAGGCGATTAGTTACTTTACTTAAAGGGATAGTTCACCTAAAATTAAATATTGTGTCATCATTTACTCGCACTTTAGTTGTTCCAAACTGGTTTGAGTTTTTTTCTTTTGTTGAGCTTAAAATAAGGTAAAAAGCTGAAAATCGACATCCATAGTATTTTTTTGTCCTACTATGGAAGTCGATGGTTACAGATTTTCAGCGTTTTTCAAAGTATCTTCTCTTGTGCTTAACAGAAAAATGAAACTTATAAACATTTGGAATCACTTGAAGGTCAGTAAATAGCGAGTAAATGTTCATCTTTGGCTGAACTATTACTTTAAATAAAGCGGGAAAGCCTGTTGTCTTAAAAGCGACAAGTTGACGATATTTAAAGTTGTTACCTGTTAAGTTGACTTTTTTAAATTAATCACATAGTTCATTTACTTAATTTTAAAGCAACTGGTTTACTCACTTCAAGTAAGGCCAAGAAAGAAACCAGTATGTCTATTGCAGTGTGCAAATGTTGAATTTACTTTGCTTTCTTGTACGGTTAGCTTGTGTAAATCTGATTTATTTCTTGCACATCAAGAATTTACACGATAAAAAGTGATTAGTTACAAACTAGTTTGAGTTTTTTTCTTTTGTTGAGCTTAAAATAAGGAAAAAAAGCTGAAAATTGACTTCCAAACTATTTTTTGTCCTACTGTGGAAGTCGATGGTTACAGATTTTCAGCGTTTTTCCAAATATCTTCTCTTGTGCTTAGCAGGAAATTGAAACTTTTAAACATTTGGAATCACTTGAAGGTCAGTAAATAACGAGTAAATGTTCATCTTTGGCTGAACTATTACTTTAAATAAAGCGGGAAAGCCTGTTGTCTTAAAAGCGACAAGTTGACGATATTTAAAGTTGTTACCTGTTAAGTTGACTTAACTTAGTTTTTTAAATTAATCACATAGTTCATTTACTTAATTTTAAAGCAACTGGTTTACTCACTTCAAGTAAGGCCAAGAAAGAAACCAGTATGTTTATTGCAGTGTGCAAATGTTGAATTTACTCTCCTTTCTTGTACGGTTAGTTTGTATAATCTAATTTATTTCTTGCACATCTAGAATTTACACGATAAAAAGCGATTGGTTACTTTACTTAACGGGATAGTTCACCTAAAACCAAATATGTAATGTAATGTAATGTGTATTTATATAGCGCATTTATTGTGTATGGCCATACACCCAAAGCGCTTCACAATCGTGAGGGGGGTCTCTCCACACCACCACCAGTGTGCAGCATCCACTTGGATGATGTGACGGCTGCCACAGGACAACGGCGCCAGTGCGCTCACCACACACCAGCTACAGGTGGAGTGGAGAGACCGCGATAGAGCCAATTCGGTGGAAATATTGTGTAATCATTTACTCACACTTTACTTGTTCCTGTTTGGGTTTCTTTCTTCTGTTGAGTTCAAAATAAGTAAAAAAGCTGAAAACCTGTAACTATTGATTTCCATAGTAGGAGAAAAATACTATGGAAGTTGATGGTTACAGATTTTCAGCGTTCTTCAAAATATTGTCTTTTATGTTCAACAGTAGAGTGAAAGTCATAAACGTTTGGAATCACTTGAAGGAGAGTAAATAGTGAGTAAATGTTCAGTTTTGGGTGAACTATCACTTTAAATAAAGAGAGTAAGCCTGTTGCCTTAAAAGCGACAAGCTGGCACTACTTAAAGTGAGAAAACCTGTTACCTGTTAAGCTGACCGAACTTAGTTTTTATAATTAATCACTTTTAATTAATTAATCACAAATTCATTTTAAATATATATATATTTTAAAGTAAAGCCAACTAATTGCTTTTAAAAGTAAGGGGTTTACTCACTTTTAAAAAAGGTCAACTAATCGCTTTTTATAGTGTAAATATTAGAAATTATCAATAATTTTTCATTTTGTTCTGTAGTATTTATAATTATGAGCATAATTATTGAACTTTTTAATTAATTAAACACAACATTACGAGTTTGTTTTTTATTTAAAATATACATAATTGTTTTAAATGTACACATATAAGATAATATCATTACCATTGATGACATTTGTATCAATTTGTGCATGAGTCCTAATTCTTTGGTAGAGCAAAAGTGCATTTGCTTTTACAGCACACAAAAAAAAGAGAAAAAAAGAGTTTTTTTCTTTTGTTGAGCTTAAAATAAGGAAAAAAGCTGAAAATCGACATCCATAGTATTTTTTTGTCCTACTATGGAAGTCGATGGTTACAGATTTTCAGCGTTTTTCAAAGTATCTTCTCTTGTGCTTAACAGAAAAATGAAACTTATAAACATTTGGAATCACTTGAAGGTCAGTAAATAGCAAGTAAATGTTCATCTTTGGCTGAAAAATTACTTTAAATAAAGCAGGAAAGCCTGTTGTCTTAAAAGCGACAAGTTGACGATATTTAAAGTTGTTACCTGTTAAGTTGACTTAACTTAGTTTTCTAAATTAATCACATAGTTCATTTACTTAATTTTAAAGCAACTGGTTTACTCACTTCAAGTAAGGCCAAGAAAGAAACCAGTATGTCTATTGCAGTGTGCAAATGTTGAATTAACTCTCCTTTCTTGTACGGTTAGTTTGTATAAATCTAATTTATTTCTTGCACATTTAGAATTTACACTCTAAAAAGCGATTGGTTACTTTACTTAACTGGATAGTTCACCTAAAACCAAATATGTAATGTAATGTAATGTGTATTTATATAGAGCATTTACTGTGTATGGCCATACACCCAAAGCGCTTCACAATCATGAGGGGGGTCTCTCCACACCACCACCAGTGTGCAGCATCCACTTGGATGATGCGACGGCTGCCACAGGACAACGGCGCCAGTGCCCTCACCACACACCAGCTATTGGTGGAGTGGAGAGACCGCGATAGAGCCAATTCGGTGGAAATATTGTGTAATCATTTACTCACACTTTACTTGTTCCTGTTTGGGTTTCTTTCTTCTGTTGAGTTCAAAATAAGTAAAAAAGCTGAAAACCTGTAACTATTGATTTCCATAGTAGGAGAAAAATACTATGGAAGTTGATGGTTACAGATTTTCAGCGTTCTTCAAAATATTGTCTTTTATGTTCAACAGTAGAGTGAAAGTCATAAACGTTTGGAATCACTTGAAGGAGAGTAAATAGTGAGTAAATGTTCAGTTTTGGGTGAACTATCACTTTAAATAAAGAGAGTAAGCCTGTTGCCTTAAAAGCGACAAGCTGGCACTACTTTTTTTAAAGTAAAGCCAACTAATTGCTTTTAAAAGTAAGGGGTTTACTCACTTTTAAAAAAGGTCAACTAATCACTTTTTATAGTGTAAATATTAGAAATTATCAATAATTTTTCATTTTGTTCTGTAGTATTTATAATTATGAGCATAATTATTGAACTTTTTAATTAATTAAACACAACATTATGAGTTTTATTTTTTTTTTTTAGATTTTAAAATTTTTTTTATTTAAAATATACATAATTGTTTTAAATGTACACATATAAGGTAATATCAATACCATTGATGACATTTGTATCAATTTGTGCATGAGTCCTAATTCTTTGGTAGAGCAAAAGTGCATTTGCTTTCACAGCACACAAAAAAAAGAGAATATTTTTGACATGTCAACACATGAAGCAAAGATTTCCAGTCTCATAAAACTGCAGTGCTTAAGTGTCAAAATAGATATTGTTCATGGGCAGCCAATGAAAACTATATGAAATTACAGGCCCGTAGCCAGCCTGGTGAAATAACTGCAAAAAGTGGACCTTTTTATCAAGATTTCACAGTGGCTTTTGATCCTGGAATGATTTCCCACAAACTGCATATTATTGACAAAAGTCCCAAATAATTAAAAGAAAATACGTGATCATTTTAATGTAATACAGCTTATACTTATTCAAACAGGCCAAGAAAACGCATTTTTACCATTTTTATTTAAAGATGTGATTGTTAATTCAAAGTCTTCATAGGAAATTTTGTAGTTTAGACCATCGTTTTAGCAATATTTTGATGTTTAAAACCTTTTTTTTCTCCCCTCATCTAAAATGCCTCTATCAGACATTCATTTTCCTTCTGCTTAGTCCTTTTATTCAATCGGGGGTCACCCCTGAATGAACCGCCAACTTGTCCAGCATATGTTTCACACAGCGGATGCCCTTCTAGCTGCAACCCAGTACTGGGAAACATCCATACACACTCATTCACACACATACACTATGGCCAAATTAGTTTGTTCAATTCACGCATGTCTTTGGACTGTGGGGGAAAATGGAACACTTGGATGAAACCCACGCCAACACAGAAGGAACATGCAGACTCCACAGGGAAATGCCAACTGACCCAGCCAGGACTCGAACCAGTGACCCTCTTGCTGTGGGAAAGCCACCATGTCGCCCAAATGCTTTCTATGTGCATGTATAAAATCACTTTTGTAAATTTTAGTAGAACAAAATCCCAAACTGGGGCTTCTAATCTTTAACTCATTAACAAAACTCTTTTTAAATTCCATGTTTCAAATCCTCTTTATTTGAGGAACTAGAGCACATAAAAACTGTATGTACGATATATATATATATATATATATATATATATATATATATATATATATATACATACATACATACATGGTGGGCAAGTGGGTAGCACGATTGCCTTACGCCCCATTCACACGTCAGCTTCAACGCTTCCCATTTACTTTGAACTGCATTGTGGATCCGTCGGTGTAGTTGCTCGCTGCAGAAGTTGGGACTTGCTCAACTTTTCAAGCGCCGACGGAAGCGTCGCTGTATGCAAATACACCAGCTAAGATAGTAGCTGGAACTAATTTCATTGGCTGACGCTGCTATGACGATTGCGTCAGCCCCAACTGCAGACACGCCCTCTGTCAAGCGTTGACACTGAAGCCCAGTGTAAATCCGCTGATTCGAGCCCCGGCTGGGTCAGTTGCCATTTCTGTGTGGAGTTTGCATGTTCTCCCCATTATAGATTTCCTCCAAAGTCCAAAGACGTGGTACAGGTAAAATGAATAAGCTATATTGGCCATAGTGTATGGGTGTTTCCTGGTGTTGGGTTGCCCTGGAAGGGCATCCGCTGCGTAAAACATATGCTGGATAAGTTGGTGGTTCATTTCGCTGTGGTGATCCCTGATTAATCAAGGAACTAAGCCGAAAAGAAAATGAATGAATGAATAAATGTTACATTCGATGATTGTATCTCACATTGTCCCACAACAACATTAAATTAGTGTAAATTAGTGTACAATGTTTTATATTTATTTTAGTCATTTGAAAAATGAGATTTCTTTAAAAGTAACACAGTAGTTACTTTCCCCGGTAATTTGTTTTAGAAAATTATGTAACTCAGTTACTAACTCAGTTACTATTTGTGAGAAGTAACTGCTGTGCCCAACACTGGTCTTAAAGCCTTTTTCAATGGGTTATTTTGACAATTTCTGAGCTCATTTATTGGACATATTCCGGACCGTTGTCAGTCTTTCGAACCCCTCTTGGCTACGGGTCTGCATATGCAAATTTGTTACAGAACCAAGAATTACCGTTTCAGGAAATTCAGTATCAGTTTTACCATGATAGACAGTAACTCCATCTATCATGCACTTTGATCTCTAAAACCTTGCAGACCTTTTACATAAGCAGGAAGCTACAATATGCACAAAATGAAAGGTGATATTCTAACAAGCGTGATGGGGCACTTTACCACACAATTAAATCTTACACGTTTAGGGAACTGGATAAGTGTGCCTTATGCATGACTAAACATGATCAAGTTGTGGTCTGCAGATGCAGAAGTGTAATGTCAAAGCAATGGAATTGAATACCCGGAGGCTGGAATACTGAACTCCGATGTCCCGGATCCTTCTGTAGCTGAATCTCCCTCAGTGAAAACACGGATGAGGCTATACGAGAGAAGACAAAGCGGGTGATGATCAAAGCAGTCTTGTTTGTTTGGCGGAGGTAGAAGACAGACTGTAAGGCTTGTGTTGAGGTGCTGTTATGTAAGCAGATTCTTCAGAAATGATTGCAATGAACTTACTGTCAGGTATGGAGAGGATGTTCTCGCCTAGGGTCTGGAAGTAAGAGTGTCTCAGAGACAGTTCAGCTGAAATCCTGCGCTTTGTGTCGTACTGGAACAAAACAAAGGAGATAAAAGAGCAGATTTAATACGCTTTTAATGCAAACTTTTTCTTTCTTTCTGCTGTATATGTACTTTTCTGACCTTGCGTTCATTTCCCAAACAACGACATAACTTGTGGCTCACTACTAACTACCATCAGACGATGCATCTTTTGGGTAAAAAATTATGTAGAGACAGGTGTTTCCCAAAACCGTAATTTCTCCATCATTTGAACCACGTTAGTTATAATGTAAACAAACCATTAAGCTGTTAAAGACATTAAGTTATGTAGCATTTATTTGATGTTGTGCAAAGAACTGCACATATATTTTATGTTGCCTTGTATGTATGTATGTGTTTATGTATGTGTGTATGTGTGCAAGATAGATAGACAGACAGACAGACAGACAGACAGACAGACAGACAGACAGACAGACAGACAGACAGATAGATAGATAGATAGATAGATAGATAGATAGATAGATAGATAGATAGATAGATAGATAGATAGATAGATAGATAGATAGATAGATAGATAGATAGATAGATAGATAGATAGATATGGCATAATACTGCCCCATACTGCACGCGTTAGTATATATTTTTTTATTTAGTATATTTTTCCTTCATTATTTGCAGTTTTAATATTTTAAATAGATAATAATAATAAATATATTACATAGTGCAGACTGCGATTTGGGGAAAATATGTAATTTCTGTCTAAATTTGATTTGATTAGCGATTTTATTTTGTAGTTAAGCTTCAGGTCAATAATCTCTAAGCTGTGTCAGCAATTCTGCGACGGCTCTTTAAAATGACCTGTTTTTGTTTGGTGTCTGTGACTTTAAAACCGAAATATTCCCATATTACCGATGTCCTGTTTTTCTTTGATATTAATTTGTCTGTTAATGCTGCTGAAGCAGCAGACACCATTATACAAATTGCGGCACTTTTCATTTTTTAAAAACATTTTTTAAAATTATTTTTATATTGTGTCCGTTTCGCATACTTTGGTCACAGAATTCTGATTGGGCAGAACAAAAGTGTGCTCACTTAATTGGTCAGTAAGACTTTCACACACAAAAAAATTAAATAAATTAAAAATAAATTAAATAATACATATATACTTCGTATCACAGCCTCTTGCGATTTAGCTAATTGAAACGTTTCAAATTGCGATTCGATTTCGATTAATCTCACAGCCTTAATGCTTTATATAAAACTATTTGAAATATTTTCTACACAACACAAATCGGATCTTTTAAAATGATAAAATCCAATATTATAATTTTTAGAGTCCTCATTTAGCTCTATATCAGGCCCAGATTGTTTATCGTGATGACCGGAAGTGTCCCTAGCTGCTTGCACTCTCAGCAGTCACACTTTTTTCCTTTATTTAATTATTTGACCATAGCCTCACTCTTTTTATTCTTTTTTTTTTTTTGCCGCAGCTCCGCTCTTTTTATTTATTTGTTTTCTCGCAGCACCGTGAGCAAAAAGCAGCCTGCAGGTTAATGATGATGTAACTATCATTCGACCCCAAACAGCGGCACCTTATTGAATATAAGAATTCGAATAAGAATTCGAATAATTAATATCAAAGAAGAATATGCTCAATGAAAATCAGATGATTTACTACAATAATAAATATGACATGATCAGAAATCTAAAAACGGGAGAAAAAGATTAAGCCTACATGATGACAGTAAATAATATTTTACTAGATTTTTCAAGACACTTCTATACAGCTTAAAGTGACATTTAAAGACTTGACTAGGACAGGTTTGTTGTGTAGACTATCGAAAAAAATATAGCTTAAAGGGGCTACTAATACAGACCTTAAAATGGTTTATAAAAAATTAAAAACTGATTTTATTTTTGCTGAAATAAAACAAATAAGACTTTCTTCAGAAGAAAAAATATTATCAGACATACTGTGAAAATTTCCTTGCTCTGATGAACATCATTTGGGAAGTGTTAAAAAAAAAAATCAAAGGGGGGCTAATAATTCTGACTTCAACTGTTTATGGGAACATTAATATGATGTTCATTTTACATGTACACATTTCCCACATTTGTAAAATTCTACATATATATTTTTATATCATTTTAAACATTAACATTGATATTTTCAACATTTTTGTTATTGCTATTTTTAATCTAATTGCACAAACATCATAATTACAGTAGATAGCCAGCTCTGAAATAAAGATGACAAAAATAGATAAAGCTGCAAACTTTCTGAAATGTGTGCAACACTTCCCCAGTTTTGTGCTGTAGAGCGCGAGTTACAGTCCTCTGATCTTTCCCGTCGTGTGTGTTCTTCACTAATGACTCGATTTGAGCACAACTCCCCTGACTTGTTGATCCCCGAGCTATAAAATAGTTTTAAATAATGAAGCACCCATCACCCTGCTGTCATCTCGCACAAAGTTATAAAATTGTCTCCGGTGAAGTTTGGCGGCGTTTCAAGCGAGCAGAGCGTTCAGAGCGCATTGTGCGAGTCTGACAGCGCGATCAGTCAGCAGGGTTTGATGAGAAACAGGTGCACGGTTCGGACTCATTAAGGCCCCTGTCACCATTAACGAATCGCGCGCTCCGTGGTCTTTCATCATAATGACAGGTCAGTGAGCACTCAAGCTGCGCGCGCCATCAGAGAAAGAGAAAAACGCATTCACGTTTCTGCACAAATACCACATTCTCCTGAAGTACAAACGCACACAATGTAAACCTGCTCGAGGACCTCCTATTACTTTATTATAGACCATAATAGACTAGAAATACCGCTTTATATATGCATAAAATACTGTAGTACCTTGGTGGAGCCTCTGATACTGTCAGGGCACGGATAGTGTTGCAAACTTTGACATTTTTGACACGTTCTTTATCTAGTTGTCATATTTGAATGTTTCAGAAATGTATTCGGCTACTCATATATGGGCCCGCACGGAATCTGCCCACGCAGAATCCCGCAGATTTTTATCCCATCATTGATTCTGTTTATTTACTTGTGTAAATGTGTGTAAATTTATGTTCATTCAGTTTTCAAATTAATTTCAGTAATATTATTGACTAATAAGAAGTATTTATATACAATATTTATGTATAAATGGCCGTAATTTCAACGGTAAAAAAAACTGTAAAAATACTAAGGTAAAATAATAATAATAATAATAATAATAATACCTTACATTAATATAGCGCTTTTCTGGGCACTCAAAGTGCTTAACACAATGAGGGGAATCTCCTCATCCACCACCAGTGTGCAGCATCCACCTGGATGATGCAACGGCAGCCATTTTGCGCCAAACCGCACACACCAGCTGATTGGTGGAGAGGAAACCAATGAAGTGATGAAGGCAATTATGATATGGGAATGGTTAGGAGGCCATGATGGACAGAGGACAGTGGGCAGATTTGGTCAGGATGCTAGGGTTAAACCCCTACTCTTTTTCGAAGGAAATCCTGGGATTTTTAACGACCACAGAGAGTCAGGACCTCGGTTTAACATCTCATCCGAAAGACGGACAGATCCGAAAATCCGTAACCTGGTTAACAGTATGTTTCCTTAATGTATACGGCGAATAACCGTGAACTGACTTTCTCAAAATTCCCTGCATGGTACATCACTTTTTATGCTTTTTGTTGACATTATTATGGATCTTTGTAGTTGTTTCCCCATCAATTATGTACATTAGAGATTTATGTTACATCTAATGTTGATAAACAATGTTTATTTCATGACTTTAATTTTATGCGTGTTACCATACTGGTGTTTAGTAGCTGTGTGAATGACACTGAGCACCTTCTTTACGCTGATACTCTTTTCTGCTTGTGGGAAAGTTGTTTGTGATGAGCATTGGTTCATTATGTAACTTTCTCATCATCACATGCATATGGCTTAACGTGTCTATCTGTGTAACATAGATTAATAAGAAAATGTTGCGGGTTTATACTGGCTTTCCAAAAAGCGTGTTCATGTTTCTTCACAAATACCAGCTTCATTAGTGAGAAAACGGTTAAACTGAGCATCTGAAGTGCGAGTATAAAGAACGAGCCTCCTCCAATCGGCCTTTACTTTCTCTTTCTCTTTCCCTCTGTAGTGGTTAAGGAAACTGTGTTGTACACTCCACTGAAGACATCCATTAGCCTACATAATTAATTTAGTTTAAGCACAAAGATTTGTTTCAAAACTATTTGTAAATTCAGTTCTTATTTCCAGCAAATGAATAAATGAACAATAATGACGAACTGTGGTCAAAGCACACATGCCATACTCCATATGGTCCAAAATCTGACAGATGGACAAACCTAAGCTTGTTTTTATTAAAACAAATAGAAATGTGCATATAATAAATAATACTTATTCTCATTAAGAGAATAAGCTCAGTAGCTACTAATAATAACATTATACAAAAGCAAATACTCGTGAATGAGCTGAAAAAAAGCCTCTCGAGTTGAAGGCATGAGGCTTTAGTTTTTGTATTTATGTAGAAAGTAATACTTTTTGTTATTTTAATCTTTTGATTCTTTTTCATTTGTAAAAACGTTTGTGTATTGCTCTACATCCTACTTGCTTTAAGCAATGTGTAAGTGAGACGCACAACTAACGAGCTCTGCGCTGGACTTTAGCCTGCTTTCAGCTACATTTACATTTAGTCATTTAGCAGATGCTTTTATCCAAAGCGACTTACAAATGAGGACAAGGAAGCAATTTACACAACTAAGAGCAACAATGAATAAGTGCTATAGGCAAGTTTCAGGTCTGTAAAGTCTAAGAAGGGAAGTATTAGTAGTATTAGTATTTTTTTTTTTTTGTACAGTTAGTGTGATATTCAAAGAGGCAATTGCAGATTAGGAAGTGAAGTGGAGACTAGTAACAGCTAGTCTATTACACAGTCTATTTTAGTTCCTCACAATACCAATGTGCCAACAATGCGCCTTAACACACCTCCTTTCTAGATTGGAACACCCATGAGTCCACAAAGTGGTGCAGATGGATTTGCTATT